AGTTAATTGGAGAGGAGGAGAGGAGAGGAGGAGAGGAGACTCCCCAGAGAGTCTATGCAGTTTTGGAGCTCGCTCCAGCTGGGATGAAGCTTGCTAGCTCCCTCTTCAACCTTCTTAGTAATATCTGAGCAGGATAGTAACAAGATGAGATTGTAATATTGCTCTATGCTGTCAATGGCAAAGAAACACAATTCTGTGCATTGACTGTGCTCTACTTCAGAGGCTTTCAATATGTATCTCATATCCAGAAGCCTAATTGGTTGGGATGCAAGACAGGGCCTTTTCCAATGTGGCACCCAGGTTGTAGCATTACCTCTCCAGAGAGAAACACCAGACTCCCACCTTTTAAACTTCAGATTAGCAGCCAATCCATTTTATTCTACTGTGTTTTAGTTTGGGTTGCCTAGTTTTTATACTATTTTTTTTGGTCTCTCTGTTGGTTTGAACTGATTACTAAAATTGAGTGCTAACCATCATTTTAGTAGTCTGAACTGTTTTCATTGTCTTTTAACAATGTTATAGTTCTCTGCAAACCATGATGGCTTGGATTTATATTTAAAATGTGAAGTATAAATTTTTAAATAAATAAAAGAAGGTAACATTGAGCAGAAAATAAAGCAAGCCAACTGGAAGACGAGCTCTGCATTACAAAAGATTTCTGCAAACGTGACATGAATGCTAGCAACATTAACCCCATCATGTGGAAATTCCTGGCAGACAACCACAGTGCCTAGAGACAGTCAGATCATGTATCCACAGCAGTGACCAAAGGAGGAAAGACCACTGGGAGGACCACAGAAAGAAGAAATGTCATGGTGCATCTGTAGCAGCAAAACTAGATGCCTTCATCCGCCACAGATGCAACTAAACATGTCTCTCTTGTATCAGTCTCTACAGCCACAGCAGCTGCTGTAATTGCATGCCAAGACCCCTGGACCTGCAGCTCCCTAGGGGTGAATAAATAGACAGGCAACAGTATATACGATTTGTGGATCAAATAGGCCACCACTTTTATTAGTTACAGATGTGAGTGGTTTTTCATAAACATTGGGTGAAGCCAATTTAAATCACTCCAGCGCATTTGCTGGGAATCCATCTAATGATAGACCACCATGGGGAATGGGCCTATGACCTACATCAAATAGCGGATCCCCTGGGCGGTCCCTGCTAGAGGAGTGATATGACCCTAGTCCCCATCTGGGTGTTGGTTATAGGCCACTCTCCCCGGATCCCTTAAACAAAATACCCATAACCAAAGAGGGGCAGGAAGAGGTTACAAGCTACCCTCTACCCAATATCAGGGCTTCCCCAATGTCCAACCACCCACTGTAACTCTCCAGCGGTTTGACTTCACCCGTGAGGACAAACTCATCCATTGTCTCCCAAGACACACAGATGCCAGCCAACCATGCTATGTACTATTAATGCCACCTACTGACTATTAAGTGTGGAATGGTCAAAAAAAGAAAAAGAAGAAGAAAAAGCAACACATCAGGACAATTACACACACACACACACACACACACAAAAATAGAACAAATACACACTTCCTTGGTTATTATCTACTGGAAACTCAAACTCATCTTGAAGAATAACTGAATTAATTTAATGAGATCTTTCCATTCATCCTTAGGAAAGCATTCTTCACATCTTTATTTCTCAGACTGTAGATGAAAGGATTTAGCATTGGGATCACAAGAGTATAGAACACTGAAACAATTTTATCTTCATCCATTGAGACACTGGAATTGGGCCTCAGATACATAAAGATAATGGTCCCATAGAAGATTGTGACAGACGTGAGGTGAGAGGCACAGGTGGAAAAAGCTTTGTGTCTGCCCTGAGCAGAGCGAATCCGCAGGATGGCAAAAATAATGTACATATAGGAGATGAGGATAATCAACAAAGTGGCCGTGACTATTGCAGTAGAAAAGATGAAATGCACAGTGTTAGCCACTGCTGTGCTTGAACAGGAAAGTTTCAGGATGGGAGGGATGTCACAAAAGAAATGATTGATAACATTTGAGCTGCAGAAAGAAAGGCTAAATATCAATGAAGTCTGTGCAACTGAATTCACAAAGCCACAAATATATGCACCTATTACTAAGACCAGACAGAGCTTTTTAGACATGGCAACAAAATAGAGTAATGGGTTGCAAATGGCAGTGAAACGATCATAAGCCATAATAGCTAGAAGACAAGTTTCAACTGTGATAAATAAACACAAAAAGAAAAATTGCACGGTACACTCTGTGAATGCAATAGCATTATTGCTCTCCAGAAAGGTCATCAGCAACCTGGGAGCGATAGTAGTGGAATAGCCAACGTCAACCAAAGATAGGTTGCTGAGGAAAAAGTACATGGGAGTGTGCAGGTTTGCATCAAGAGTGGCTAGTACGATGAGGCCAATATTCCCTGACACTGTGACAATGTAGATCAAGAGGAACAGCAGGAAGAGAAGGGCCCACAGCTCTGGATATTCCATAAAGCCCAGAAGGATGAATTCAGTCACCATGGTTTGATTTGTGTACTCCATCATTTATTCCCTAGGAGGAAAAGAAAAAAGGAAATAAAAAGTAAATAATTTTATTTATTTATTCTTAAAAATTCTCATGAAAATGTGTCAGCATTTTAGTGTGAATTTCTTTCAATAAACACATTTTTGCATGTATTTTCAATTATTATACACATATTGGCAAGTGATTTCACCTAATTCAGTTCTCTTTTTCATTTTCAGTAATGTATATATGCATTTTTGTACATATTATTTGGTGGAAGAACTGCATCACAAAATTCAGAGCAGTGTAGATTTGGTCTAAAGTTTTTGACTATCATATTGGTTTGAAAAGTGTAAACTGGGTGGTTTCTCATTAAAACCCAAACCAAATTCTCATCTACCCCTAGTTATGACTATCTTTACCAGCACTGGGGCTAATTAATGCACAATCAAGTGATGACTTGAATGAAAATTGCAGAAAGGATCAGAAACCGTGACAATTTTTAAAAATATCACCTTCCATGACTTGAAGCACAATGGGAGGAATTAAGTGCTAGGTTCTTCTGAATGTTCTGTCATGACAAGTACATCAGCTTGCTAGATAGGATGTTCCATTACCTTCTCCCACTGAGTGCAGTTTGGGGTTTCTCCTTACCAGGGCTATAGGGGAGGAGAGGGAGAAACCCCCGTTGTGAAGTTGGAAGTCATCAAATGGGCTCCTGTTCATGAGAGTTGTTCATTGAATCCCACCAAATAGTTTTAAATGTCAGCCATTGTTGAGCTTAGGCATGAGTCATCAGGTCATAATCAACACATGATGTAAAGGACCCCTGGATGGTGCAGGTATGAGAAGGATTTTTTCCAAGTGAGACGCACATTACCTGGTGGACAGCCTTCTGGAGAATACATGGCAGCTGGGTGGGATCGGATCTGCACACACCCACGAAATCAGAAATCCTCAACTGATGCCCATTCATTTCTCATGTAAGCATAGTACTCAGAAACAACCAGCTCAGGCATAAGACTTTGAAGAGTCCGGTGCAATCATCAAGTGCACGTTTCATATTGTTACATACCCATATTGCTGCTTCCTAGAAAGACTTGCTTCCAGTATCTTTTGCAGCAGCTTCCATCCATACCACCTGCTATTCTTGAATCTTGGACAATAAAACAAGCTTCAATAATTAAGGCTGCAGTTACTAGGGGAGTATATATGGCTGAACTCAATGAGTTTTACTTCTGACCATAATATTCAATATTCTATTATGTTTAAACAAATACAGCTGGGCACAGGTTCTTTCTTTTGACTCCCCCCCCCCCCCGATTTTGTGTCAGTTTGCTGCAAATGTCAAAATGAAAGGCTTTTAAAGAGTTGGTACAATTGAATGCAATATCTCTTGCATTGGTACAATTGAATGCAATAACAAAAATGCAGAAAAAAATGATGATGGTATCTATTTCAGCTTTATTAGTCAAGCTGGTACCTCTTACCAGTGGAAAGAAAAGTCATTTCATGACTACAAGCGTATCACTGTGTGCATTAGCAAGATGTGTTTATAAATGATTCCTTGGAAACTAGGGACATAGACCCCATGGGATTTTCTAAGTAAGATATAGCTGAGATTGCAACATTCTCTTCAGGTCCACTAGGGAATAGTAGATGACTACAAAGTAATATATTGTCTCAGATCTAGAGCACCAGTTCACATCACTTCTTGGTAGTTGTTGCTTTATTTAACCAGTCTACATTCCAAGAATACATGAGTAGTGTACAAAAACAGAATATCAAACAGAATACAAATCATAAAGCAATGCTAAAAACACGACGCCAACAAGAATTTGAAACTGCAGAACTAGAATGGACTAATTCAGGAAGCTTTGGGAGAAAACAAAAATTCTCAACACATTTGGAAACGTAACAATGGGTGGTATCCAACTAACATGTCTCATTAGTGCATGGATTTTGACTTGCACAATGAGACTTTCCCCCTCTCCCCCTGTGCATCTCCTGTGGACTCCCCAAATCTGCTCCAGAGGGCTGAGAGAACCCCAGAACATATTTAGTGGGCATGTGGAAGGAGAAGGGGGGAGTCCCATTGCGCAAGCCTTAGCTGACAATGCATCAAAATGAGTTAAACATATGTGATAACCAGGTGTGAGGCTCGGGGGGAGGGGGAAGGGAGGGAATCCAATACCACCCAAGGCCATGGATCAAAACTTTCAGAATAAATGGAGAACATGACCAACAGAGAAATCATTTTTTAAAAGGTCAATGTATTTCATCCCAAGAGCAATGTGTGTGTGATGAACCTACCATGGCTTTTCATAGTTCACACAGATGCCCAAACACAAAGAATTTAACTGAACATCACTGGCTCAAAACAAGTCCCTAAAGAGTCACACGTGTTACAGGTAGCATCAACAGTAACAGGAAAAGTGGCTTGCTTGTAGGAACCATTGGCCACAATGATGGTGGAGGAAGGATGAAGCAGTTGCAGAGTGGCTACTTCAGAAATGCCACTTTGCCTGCTATCCTGCACACAGCATCTTTCACATCTTTGTTCCTTAGGCTGTAGATGAGAGGGTTGAGCAGGGATGTCACGAGAGTATAGAACACAGAAACTATTTTGTCCTGATCCTTTGGGAAACTGGAACCAGGCCGTATATACATGAAGATGATGGTTCCAAAGAAGATAGTGACTGTGGTCAGGTGGGAAGCACAGGTGGAGAAGGCTTTGTATCTGCCCTGGGCAGAACGGATCTGCATGATAGCAAAAACTATGGCAATGTAGGAGACCAAGACAATGAGAAAAGTCGTCAGTGCAATGACAGTGGATAAAATGAAATGCACAGTGCGAGTGACATGGGTGTCAGAACAGGACAACTGGAGTATAGGAGGAACATCACAGAAAAAATGATTAATGATATTTGAACTGCAGAAGGACAAATTGAATATGAAAATGGTATGGATAGTTGAACTTGCCAAGCCACAACTATATGCAACTACCACCAATATGGCATACAACTTCTTTGACATAACAGCAAAATAGAGCAGTGGGTTGCAGATGGCTGTGAAGCGATCGTACGCCATCACAGCAAGAAGGCAGCCTTCAGTGGTCACAAACAAACAAAAAAAGAAAAACTGCGCTGTGCATCCCTTGAAAGAAATGGTTGTCTTCTCTGCCACAAAGGTTGTCAGCAACTTGGGGGCAATGGCAGTTGAATAACCAATATCGATAATGGAGAGGTTTCTCAGGAAAAAGTACATTGGGGTGTGGAGCCGAGCATCCACACTGGTCACTATGATTATCCCAAGGTTGCCTATTATTGTGACTACATAGATAACCAGGAACAAGATGAAGAGGGGGACTTGGAGGTCAGGGTGGTCCATGAATCCTACAAGGATGAATTCCGTTACAGAAGTGAGATTTTGCTTCATTATTATTCCTCTATAATGGGATAAAAATAATTATTAGCATAATGTGACAATCAAGGTCAACCACATCTTTGCTTTTCTACATCCCTCAGGAGTATATTGTGAAAAGGCAATAGAGATGATCCCTGCTTGATGTGTAATAGGAGGAAATTCAAAAGGGTAGGTACCACCACACTAAAAGCCTGATTCCTATGTCATATGGTATGGACTTTCTAGTAAGATGGAATCTGCAGGAGGCCCTCTCCTGAAGTGTGAGGTGATTGATCTGGTACATAATGAAACATTACAATTTCATAATACAGTATCAAACAATTGCAAAACAGGGACAGGGCCACATTTTTTTTTAAATAAATCAGAAAAAGAAAACGATTTCAGAGTTCTGCTTTGATGAATTTGTTCACTAGACATTGATGTGAAATGAATAAGAAAATTCACTGAAGCAGCCCTTATTTGGGGGAAGACCAGTCTCATAATGACTGGATTGCTTGGAAAAGTAGCCTTCATCATTTCATGTAAAGAGAGGTTGAGAAAGCCTTCGTCAGACATTTTCTAGAGCACAGTTTCAAGTCTACCAACTTTGCTTTAAATAACCAGAATAAAAATCCATTAATGAAAAAAGAGCTATAACCAGTGCCTTTTTTCTGGGGGTATGCATACCCCTAAACATTTTGTGAATCTAAATTTGGCCTCATTGAGGGGCAGTATTTCAATATGAGCAGGAAAATGAGAGTACCCCTAAACATTATTTTAGAAAAAAAGCACTGGGTAAATGGAGGTTTTGACTGAGTAGTTCTCTACCTACTACATTGAATGAGGGAGTTAGCATTCTTACCACCAGTTTTGAAAGGAATAACTTAAAATGTCTTTGTTTCCTACCTTTTCCTCTCCCCCCTTTCTTTGTGTAGAATTCAGGTAGACTATTTTGAGTAGCAAATCAGTTTGACATCAGAACATATATTTAGAATTAGGTATAATAAGCACTCAAGTAGGCTTGCCAACATGCATTCTAACTGTAATTTCCACAGCAACGTCCTTCCTTGTGGGAGAATGAAGTCTCTCTCTGTATCTTTCTGTATCTCCTTCTCTCTCTCTTTTGCACAAAACTTGCTAAAACTGAATTGCTGGCATTTTGAAATTCTCTCACCCCCACCACATGTAGAAGTGCAATCTATTGTGCCTCTATTTTGTGGGATGTACTTCCGGATGAATAATGGGCACCTATTGGCTAGTGCTCACATCATCATTAATGTCCAGTGATGCATCTTTTCCATCCATATACCAACATTCTTTTACACATCAAAAAAGTAGGTATTAAAAATTATGTTATTCTATGAATTTTAGATTGCAATCCTTAAACACATTCACATCAGAGTAAGTTCTGTGCTCCCAAATTTTACAGTGCAAATATAAGATGCCAGTCAGAACTTGTTGCACCATTGCAGCTGGGCAGTGTGGATAATCTAGCCTTCCAAAATATTTCTGCACTGGTTGCACCCAGCACTTTTTTTTTAAGAAAGCCTGGATTGTGGCTGTGAGTCCCAGAATGGTTTCTCTTCTCCCACCTGTGAAAAGCCCCTCCCCATTTATTGCCAAGGCAGCTGTAGACAATAAATAAATAAATAGCCCTGCAGCACCCAAACAGTCCTTAGGGTTTGCTGGGTCACAACAAATATAGATAAATAAGGAGATATTATAAATGGATGATTAAAAAGATAACGCACCAATAATGATCCCCTTGACTTTAAAGTGGTTTTGCATGGGTTGGAGTTTGGCAATGTCAAAAGGAATAAACTTCTAGATTAATAAATGGATGATAATACATGGATGAATCTATGTGATGTTCGTACCTCACTCAATGTTTCTGAAGATCAGCTTTGGCTGTGTAGATCCCTAGGAAACCTGCAAGAGATTTGTAATGCAGCATCACAAAGGGCTTTCAATCTCTACCCATCTTTCGTGGCTACTGAAAACTTGTTTAGCTTCCAGACAATTTAGCTGCTTTTACTCCTGATTGCCAGAGAACATTTTTTTTGGCCAATATTTCATGTGTCAACCATAATAAGAAGAAATAGTCTAAGAACTCTTACCTGTGAATCACAAAATGTCATTTCCAAAGCTTAAAAAGCAATGAAATGTGGATAGAATTTCTTGCTTTATAGCTGGTTTGGTATTGAGCTAGAACAGAATTGCTGAAATTCTCAAGAGAAACCCATATCATTAAAATATTCAGTATGACCTCTTCGCATAGTCATCACCTGAGGACCTGCAAGCTGAGAGTTTATTTCCATAATTGGTTTGAAACAAAACTGTCCCCATGCCACTCATTTCAGTACATATTTTCAACCATTAATCTACTTTAATGCCACTTTAATGTAAGCTTGCAGATAGAAGTCATTTACTCTTTGCTTATTGCTGCTTATTTCTGCACTATTTCTGCTAGTGCAATACTCACAATGCAGTAGATCAGGCTTCCTCAACTTTGGCCCTCCAGATGTTTTGAGACTACAATTCCCATCATCCCTGACCACTGGTCCTGCTAGCTAGGGATCATGGGAGTTGTAGGCCAAAAACATCTGGAGAAGAAGAAGAAGAAGAGTTTGGATTTGATATCCCGCTTTATCACTACCCGAAGGAGTCTCAAAGCGGCTAACATTCTCCTTTCCCTTCTTTCCCCACAACAAACACTCTGTGAGGTGAGTGGGGCTGAGAGACTTCAGAGAAGTGTGACTGGCCCAAGGTCACCCAGCAGCTGCATGTGGAGGAGCAGGGAAGCGAACCCGGTTCACCAGATTACGAGTCTCCCGCTCTTAACCACTACACCACACTGGCTCTCTGGAGGGCTGATTGAGGAAGCTTGCAGTAGATTCAGCAGCAGCTGCAGTGCATCTTATCCCCCAAATAATGAGCAATGATGCCAACCTAACAATACCAACATATTTGGTATGTTGGCCTTTGGCTAATTAATCACTATATGGCCTTTTAAACTATATAGGAGGTTTATTGTTTTGGTTTGTTACTAAGTGTTTTGTGTTTTTATATTGTAAACCATCCTATCATCCTTGGATGAACGGTGGTATACAAATATTATTATTATTATTATTATTATTATTATTATTATTATTATTATTATTTCTCATTACCACGTGTGAAGTTAATACTTTGGGCTTCTTGTCATCACACACTTTGAATAAAATAGTGCAAGTCCCCCTGGGAGTGAGGGGACTCGATGGCACGTCATCTGTCTCAGGAGGAACTGTATTGATAGTGGGAACATGGCTGTCCCCATGTAAATACTGACACTCTTGTCTTTACTGGGAACTCTGGTCTTGTGCTGGTCCCGGGGCGTGGTCAAAGTCCGGTCCTGGGTCACTAGTCTGGAAACAGTTCACAAAGAGCGAGGCGGGGTCCGAAGCAGGAAGCCGTGCGGGGACGGGAACACTGGAAGGTCAGGTCTGGGTCCGGGCAGGAGCAGGTATTCAACGACGTTGCTCCCACAACCTGAGACCGGGCTGACTGGCCTTTATCTTCTCTGAGGCCAGGGGTGGTCCCGGCCCCCAGGAGACCCACCTCTCCCGGCCTTAAGGCGAGCACTCCTCCTGGGAGAAACCAGTTCCCTCCGCCTCTCTGCCCTGAGCCTCTGCAGTTCAGGAGAGGCTGGGGAGTTACTGGACCCAGGGGGAGACTCACCTTCCTCTGGCAGGGCCGGGAGAGGCGCACCTGTAGGCACTGTGTCCTCAATCACCTCCGGAGCTAGAGTGGAATCACCTGGTGCCTGCTCCTGAGGATCCGGCACAGGTGCAGGCGCTTCAGATCCAAGGCCCCGCCCCAGCTCAGCCGGCCCTGGAGGCGGGGACTCCTGTGCAGGCTGGGTTTCCTCCGGTTCAGCCTCTGAAGCGGATTCCCAGGCCATTACAGGTCTTTACCAGAAACTGGGTGGAGGAGGCAGAGGAAGTAAGATGCACTTATTCAACATCACACTAGTAGATGACTAGGGCCACTCCCCTTCCCGGGGGGGCGGTGTTGCAGGCAGGCCACACACTTTCCCCGTGTACAGTGGGGGGGGGCTGACAATGCCACCTGTGTCACGGGGAGTCCTGGCCATGTCACGCCCTCGGCTGACCAATCCGGTCGGCCAGGGGGCATGGCTTGTGCTATTTAAACAGCCACACGGATGGGGGCTCTTCCTTCTTGCTTCCCACTTCGTTGAATCTTCCACCCTCCCGCCCTTTTTTCATGCATTCGCCATCTTGGCCTTGCTATGGACCTCAATTGGTTGCCTGTTGAGGGGGCCAGGTGGGAATTTTTCCACTTGGCAAATTGGCACCAGCCATGTGGTTTTCGCCTGCCTCGTAGCAATCGTCACAACTTTGTAATGTTTGGCAGTTAGGCATTGGTAAAACCTGGTCTATGGGAGGGGAGGTTGTGGCCATCACCTGCCCCTCCTCTTTAAGGGTATTCCATTAAAGGGATCCGGGGGTGTGGATCTCATCCGAAGCCCGGGTAGGGGCTAGGGCCATGCCATGACCCCATTAGGGACCCTGGGGGAGCTATCAGTTGATGTACATCAACAGGGCTCCCCCTACTGGTGATTGACCCTTACTGGACTACCTGCATAGTGGGCAGGAGTCAGATATAGTCAATTCAATTCCAGTGACTAAGCCAATACCACTCTCATTCTGTAACCAATAAAGTTGTGGCCTTAATTATCCCATTAACCTAAAATACTGGTGTCTTATGTGTTTTATTATTCAACAAATGGGGGAGGGCTCAGGGCCTTGACATGCAGCTAGCCTTCCTCACTGATATCAGCAGCCTCTGTTCATGTGTTGCATCTAACTAATCAGCATCTAACTAATCAGCACTTGAACAATTCTACTTATCCCATTGGTTTCTGATCAGGGTGGAAATTCCTATTTTTGACTGCACCACAATGGAATCTAGAGGTTACTACTGGACGGCACTGCTAGAGTACACCATGGGCAACAATGCATCTGCTATAGCAT